AGTATATGAACACGATTTAAGACTTACCTTTCTCAGGAGGGAAAAAGGGAAGCAAGTCTCCACCTCTCTGACAAAGACAAAAGCTGAAAAATATAAACTTCACACGTAGTATCAGTGCACTCATACTGAATTACATTATATTGTGTTCATGTTATTATGTCCATCCCTTATAAGTTATAAGGAATACAATATAAGGTTTATGTGATAAAAGCAGCAAATAACTGAACAATAAGATATTGTTGACTATGTTATTATGATATTGTTGTTATTTTGCTTCTAAACTGTGTTGTCCCTTCCTGTTGATACTATGCTGTCTTGTTATATCATATCCTTATATTTTACCTTGTGCGACAACGACAAAAAAATTCACTTGAAAAGCTCATGTGAACAGTTTGTAGTCTTATTTTGTCATAATGGGGTTACGGACAGTTTCTACATCCCCCTTTATGTTGCTCCAAGTAATTAGGTAAATCATACCCACATAGAATATGAAAACGACGCTGCAAAGAATAATGTAAATGTTGTTTTGCAGCACCGCCCCGAATCCATAAAACAAGTGGTGAAGTTTTCATCTTATTTCAGACAAAGATGTGTGAGAGAAGAACAATATATTTTGGGCATCAGACAGGCCTTTAGTAGTGTCACAAGTTTACAGTCCAGATAAAGGCGATGCTACATTAACCTCAGGTGTGTATGGACACCACTGTATAAATTTATAGGTGACAGCCAGTTCAGCCAACCTTCATCAGTGCAGCAGAAACACAGAGGGTGAAAATTCCTGAGACGTGACAGAGCTGAAATCTCATGTGACACAGTGTCCTCAAACACAACATCAGGCATTTTTGTGATTTCAGGCTGATCCATCTTTGCTGAAACAAAGATGTCCAATAATTTAAAAGTAATTAGGGCCACAACTAAAATTTATTTTCATGAATGTGCCAGTTATTTTTCTTGATTAACCGATGAAATGCCTTCACCTATGACATCAAATACTCATGTTTAAGTATTTGTAACCATCAAACATTTGGCATTTTTGCTTAAAAATGATTAAAATAATTATTCCATTATCAAAACAATCGTGTGTGTCTCGTTTGAAAAGGACTTATCTGTGTGCTAGAGCTAGACAGACTGTCCCACCTGATGCTGCTTTTTTTGTACAGTTTTTCATTACTGGAGTGCAGCGCTGGCGTGAGCGATGACTTAAATCAGCTTCATACAGCCCAGTAAAACAGTAAAACAGATGGTTTGGGAGGAGGTCGGGCTATTAGGTCAGTGTGGGAGGACAGGGAAATATATGCACCGAATGCACCTTTTCTTGCTTTCAGTACAGAGCACAGTGAAGTCTGCACTGTCCTTGCTTTGTTATTCCAGTGCAGGTGAACGAATATAATGCCTACAGGTGCTCAGATACTCCTTGAAGACGAGACAGACACGGCTGAGATGACTCACTGCTGAAAGATAAATTTTGATTTGTGGATGTGTATTGTTTTTCCCGTGAATGAAGACCATCTGTGTATCTTAAAACAAAAATTGTTGGAGCTGGGTTTGATACCAACAAGAAAATGAAGACAGAAAAAAGAAGAGGACAAAGGCAGAGACGAGTGATGAGATATGAACAGCAGGTGGCGAAGAATAACAAGACAGACAGAATAGAAGATATAAAAAGGAAAAAAATATGAGGTATGAGGCCATATCTTGTCTGGGATCCTACACATCCACATAAGCACACGTTCTCATAGTAATTATGTCTGTTGACATCCCGATGGTCCAGAGGTTTCTGCAGCCATTTACAGTCAGGCCCTCTTGTCTCCTTCACACAGAGAAGGAAGTGCACGGGATGCAGCCTAAAGCATCTTTTCACTGAACAGCAAGAAGATTTCCCAAAAATTGGTTTGGGACTGTACAAAGAAGACCCCCAGGCCTCATCTAGCAGCAGAGGTGGGACCACAAATAGTGAGCTTTGGGGGCTGAGGTAATACGCTCTTCATTAAAATGCATCAAAATAATGCTGTTACACAAGAGATGCTCAACTGCTGCAGGCTGTTTAGCATGTATTATAGAGGAGACAGTCAACAGAGGATTTCCCTCTCATCTTTTTTTTTTTTTTTGGCTTTTAATTCATCCTCAAAAAAACAGATAGGAGCGACTGGTGTCACTGTAGCAGTGACTGTTTAAGATGCAGGTTTAAGGTTTTGCTTTCTGGAAAACAAAGCAAAGATTTTGTCTGTGGCACCACATGTTGGTATTTTGCGAAGCTGTACAAGTGATGCAGAAGTGTAAATGCCTGCCACAAGAAACAAGAGCTAAAAAAATACAGACTCTTCTCTCATGTAATGTTTCAACCAATGAACAGCATGCTTACTTTGCAATAGTTGTAGCGTTTTTTTGTGCGTCAGTAGACCTGGATAATCATTGTCCCAAGAGGATGTTTACTATTATTTTTGGTGATCTACTGGCTTTTGGTCTAGAGAAACCAACAGGCCAAATCTTTCACTTTCAGAAAAAAATATTGCTGTGAAATTGATTAAACACATCCCAGATAGCAAAATAAATCTGGTTCCACACTTGGCTACATGCTTGTTTTCTTCTGGTCCAGTGTATGTCTGGTTCCATGACTCAAAACTGGCCCATATACAGCATGATTGTAAGATGCTACCTCCACATCTGGACATCTAGTGCACATAAAAAATCTTCCAGCTGTCAGTCAATACCGGAGGATAATAACTGGACTCTAGCCTAGATGCGAATGTGGATAGAAGTGGAAGTATATGGGAATCAGATATATGTTGGGCCGGAAGTTTCATTTTGCTATCTGGGATCCTCAGGCTCCCCAGAGGATGGATCATTTCCATTTTAGGAACCTCTTGAGTCTTCCTCTTGTACCACCCTGTAGCCAAAATTTGAACTTGGCACACTATAAATCTCATAATCTAATGGCCAGGCCACCATGAAATTAACTGAGAAAAATTCATGCTCCAGGGAGGGTGAGTAGCCCTTTCAATTTGTTGCTGGTTTTAATCCAACATTTTCTTGGTGTAATGAACAATGCATTCTCTCGGAGCTGCCATCAGGAGTTTTGAACTTAAAAAGCAGATGCCTCTCACTTAATGGAGTGAAGATGATAACAGACCCATATTTTTTCATATGATGAAAAGTCTCAGCATATTCAAGGTGGAGTGGGAGATGGAGAACCTTTTCTGACCTACACTACTGTCACAGTGGTAGATAAATGCTTTACTCGCAAATAGGTTCCAGAGCAAAAAGACAGAGTTACGACTGAGATAACTTGTAACTGAGACAGATTATTTACTAACATTGTAGGTGGAAGAAAGTTAGCATTGATTTTCTTAGTACACGACCACTTGACAAAGGCAGGATGATATAGGAAAAACACACCAATAGTGACTCTGTGAGTTGTACTTAGGCGGAGCCCAACTTTAATTTTACCATGCTCGCCACCTTAGCGTGCTAACATTTGATTAAGAGCACTATACAAAGTACAGCTAAGGCTATGTCCCGTAATATGTTTTCATTTAAAAATGAAAAAAAAAAAGAAAATCTCTGTCCATGTGTGCGTTTTAGCTCTGTATCAGAAATAATCTTCCTCCATAACACACATGAAAACACATGTAAGATGACCATTCATGTACACTGGACATAGGTGTAACAAATCAGGGAAGGATACGCCGTGACTTCAGGGAGTGAACGTGTGTGTCTGCGTCCTCGTTTCTCGCCTGTTGAGACTAAAATGCGACTCCAGAGTTTTCAAACTAAAACAGGACCTGCAGGGTTTCCAAAAGTCTCTGTTTTAGAGGCTTCGAAAACTCCGCTGTAATGTGGATGCCAGACAGAAAAATAGCAAAAGTATTAAAGCTAAAACATATTAGTGTGCACATAGGCTGATGAGCATGTCATTAGTTTTGCATGGGTCATAATGGACAAATTGAAATTTTGACCTTATAACTTCATCACAATCCATCCAATACTTTGCAAAAAGTCTAGACTTCATAAGAGGTGATAATAACAAAATAAATTAGAAGATCATTAGTGTCAGTTGGCTTTATTCCATGAAAACCATGAATGTCAGTGCAACAGTTTCATGGCCAGTCCAATATTTGTTAAGATATTCAGTCTGGCCTGATTAGACTGTTCCAGCATGGCTAAAAACATTTGTTCCAGCACCTGTTGAAGAGTTTTTCTTAATCACCAGGAGTATCCTAAATTGTTCTTTCTATCCTGTTCTATGTTTTTATGTTAACATAACAATCACAGGGCTTACTCCCATACATACATACACCATTTTTAAAGTTATGACTAAATTTGAACTTTCTGCTTTGGTGGTTCGGTCTCAGCGCTTCCATCCATTACCCCGGTGGGATCCATGATTTCACTGGCTGGAGTCATGCGGCTTCACTCAGCCGTAGACATCAAATCCCCTCACATCAGCAGTGCCTAAGGCGAGATACAGCCAAACACAAATCGCTGATGGACACGGAATGACTAGAAAGATGGATGAGGCTTTGGGAGGGGATGGTGTGTACAAAGCAGCCGGGGTTACATCGAGCACATGGAGGCTACTGAGTGGAGGTAAAGTGTATGATTAGGTAGAAATACTAATATATTCCCCTGGACTTGAATGAAATTATTTTTTTGTGGTCATTATTACAAAATAAAACCCATGCACATCCCCCTTCCCTGTTATCTACTCCACAGAAGAGTACATTATTAATGCTATGAAAATGAGCAGATGTCTTTAAAATCCCTCACAATTATTCCAATGTGGTTTTGGATTGTAATGCATTCACAGCGGCCAATTACATGCAAAGTATAAAGGGCGAAGGCGTATGCCCCCCCCCCCCAGCTGTTAAAGGCGGCATAGTAAGCTGCAGCATTATATGGTGTGTGAGAGGATGGAGGAGTAGTAAAGAGCGCATTGGACGGTGGGGAATGGTCACATGACAGTGACAGCATGTGCGATTTAAAAGAAAGGAAAAGAGAGATTTGAGCATCAGATGCGGGTTGATACGTAGTGAGGATCTGGATCTGGACCTGGACCTGGACACCACCACCTCACCAGGCTGCTGAACCGGGACACCAGCTCAAATCCGCGTCTTTTGTTTTTTTTTTTTTCCGGTTCCACGTTTCATCAACAATAATCTCCTCCCTTCAGTTTGTGCAAAATTCACAGCACTGACCCACCTTTGTTTCGTTCATCACCATCACAGCAACGAGGAAGCGCGTCCACACAGGGCACCTCTCATCATTCTCCAAAAAGGTAAAAGAAGGTAACTTTTTTTTTAAGGAATCGTTTTTGTTAGTGTGTAATCTCGCGGTTTTCTGCGTGCTGCAAACCCAATTAACAACCGGTTTCACACAATTTTTTTTTTCCCTTGCGATATTTTAAACAAATCCCATGCATGGTGTGGCTGAGCATGTGCACCTGACAAAGAGGGAGACAGTTAGAAATGAGAAAACTGCGCCAACATAGTGCAGCACTGTAATTTGCAAGGGTTTTTTTCTTTTTTCTTTTATGACTTGAGGTTATAGGATTACTTACTCACAGTTCCTGCAGCAGCCTAATTAAACATGTGATGTGTAATTAATTCTGCCAGTAAATGCAGTCTTCAAATAACTTACTAAATAGAAGAAATACATTCAGTTGAAATGCCTTTACATGCAGAGGCAAGGACTCTTTTCTTCTTCTTCCTGTTTTAGCTCCTGTATTACTGACGTGGATTTTTTTTGTTTTTTTTATCTCAGCAGTGTGTTTGAAACTCAGAACAACTCACTGCAGAGAATGTTACCGATCTTTCTTTTGAGTTGTATTTTTCTGTATTTACCTGTAGTCACATGTAACTATATTCAGTTAACAGCAATGTGTTGGTTACAGAATTGAGCTTTTGTTTTGAAGGCATCCGACTTGAGTCCTATCTGTGGAAATGTGAATTTGACAATCTTGCCATATTGTGGTGCCTCTGAGCAAGGCACTGAACAGCTGGTGGGAGGCTGTGGAGGGTGCTTGGCAGCTGCTGTGTGAATATGTTTGGGTGAATGTGCGGGGGCTGACTGTTTTTTAATGTAGGTATTTGATGGTTCATACGTTTTGGTGAATTGTGGACAAACACAGACTGTCTCTCACAACGCTCCTCTTCATCCGTTGATCTCTGCAGCATTTGGCTCCAGCAGATATTTCAGTAGTTTTCTGGCAGCTAGTTTGTCCCATCAGAAAATGAAGGAGAGAGTTGATTCAGTATTAATGTAATCGCTTCCAAAGTCAATCTGGGGTCGGTCAATGTGACGGTCTGCATCCTAATGACGACCTGCACGGTCAGGGATGCAACCATCATCCTGGGTGTCCTGGACGCCCAGCTGGCTGCAGACGCATACCTTAACCTCGCTGCACATTGGGCAGTCCAGACCATCACCTTTACTGAATGTCAAACCTGCTCTCTTCTTCTGCCAACTTCTCCTGTACTTTTCACAGCACAATTATGAACAGGACTTAAAACTAACTTTGATCTCTGTTGCTTTTATAGGAGGTTGAAAAAAAGGATCAAACAGGAGCGTTGTTTATCTTCTGCTGACCACTTAAGTGTTTGCATTTTTTTTTTTTATATATGTTGCTAAATGGAGGTAGTATGGTGCAATCCTGTTATGTTCATGTTCAATCACCTCCTGCTGAGGATTAACTGTATGTGTCAGTCAGATAAGGAAAATGTTGAAGAATTTGCAAATGACCAAATTATTCTGGATTATAGGAATGAAGATTTGATTGTATACATCAGAGCAGTGGAGTCTTGATCATTTGTTTCCATTAGAGGAGACAGACAGTTGGTAATGAGAGCGTTTGGCTCCTATTTCTTCAACACAAAACAAAACTTTTTCAAAAACAACATTAATGCAATCATTTTACTGTAATCTCAGTGTCACAGCTCTCTAATTAAATACACATTTGACTCTGTATAAGAGTTTTCACTGTTTTATTTGCTGAAAAATGCTCCCCTTGGTCAGTGGAGACCATTTGTCAACAACAGCCATAAACTATTCCCTAATCTACCGTAGGAGTAGTTGAGAATCTTTTATCCGTGTGTGATGTGTGTTTAATAGTGGCCTGACCAAAGAAAATATTTTTTTCCTACAGCATATTAACTATATCTGTACCCAAAGAAACATATGTACGGTAGCCCTTAAGCACAAAGCACATACAAGAGAAAAAAGCACAAACATTAAAACCTTGGTGTTGTCCTTAGGGGCCACCGTAGCTATGAAGCTACCACAGTAAAATGATCTGCTTACAATGTTCCTAAATTACACATTTGAATATTGAATTACAACGTTAAACACATTACCTTACCCCCCTCCCCCCAATGGGCATGTACTGTATAAAATGATAACTTGGATATTAAACTGTGAAATCATGTATATGTGATTTGTGAATCCTCCAATGACTTTCACCCAAGCAGCTTGTTGCGTTGTGGTTCATGTGTTGAGTGTACAGTTCCTCGTGAAAGAACGCCACTTAAAGTAACATCAAAGTCAGACGTTGAAGTTACCAGCCAGTAGCACTGAGCTTGTTTACACAGGGAGCAACGCAACCAGCGCTCTACTAAAATATATGTGTATGATCTTACAACCAAAAGATTTTACAGTATAGCATTAAAAGATTTAAACGATGCAGCTCAGAAAACATCATGTCTCTCCGCAGTTGCTCTTGCGGCCTAAAAAACACATTGATGGGACTAACCACAAACTCTGCAAACTTTTTTCTTTTTCTTTGAATGAAACCTTAAATTTGTGCTGCTTTTTATAGCCTCTCTTTTGTTCTTCCTGTTAACATTGCAGCGGATATGCTGTTGCCTCTCTACTCACGTCTTTAATTTAAGGGACCCCGATAATGTGCTTCCAGTAATCCTTAAAGCTTTCAGTCTGCAGTTTCTCCTCTGTTCAGGCATTATTCCAGGTTAACATTCACCTCGTGGACTTTCCATACGCGTCTACACATCTGTCCTGTAAACAAACAGAATTTATACCTCAAGTCATGTAGTTTTACACAACAATATTCCTATGCAAATATCCTTCGAATGACCTACGGCCAGGAACTGCTCGTAAGCCTCCTTTAATGTCTGTATAAGAAATGCTACTAACCCTTAATGGCTGTAATAAAAGATGTTAAATCATAAAGGGGTATTTCGCCGTTAATATAAGCAGAGTGCAGTGTGTGTATAAGAAAATTCTGAATATTACGAAATGTTATGTAAATTGAGGGTAAAAGAAAGGTCTGTACATATTGTGAACAGTAAAAGGTGCAGAAATACTGCTGCCTTTGCTGGTCTGCAAGAGTTGGAACATTCAAGGATGTTGCTCTGTCAGAGTGAGCTGCCTTTGAAAGCAGCTGTAAAATACAGTCTCAAGCTCTGCCATATAAAAATGGTGAGGGATGCAATTAAAGTTCCTCTCCAGACATGTTCTAAACTATCTAAAAATACTCTGCTATGATTAATATTTTGTATAACATGATTTTCCCACATAAAAAGTGAAAAAAAATTTTTTAAAAATCAAAAACTGGTTCTGTAAACACGTCTATGCTTACTTCCTCATTGAGAAAGCTGGATCAGACCTTGTGTCCCGACTACCACCGCTGCTTGCGCTAGGTTGACAGGTGAAACGTCAGTGCGTATCAATATGATTAGTGGAGGAAACATCAGAGACTCAGCCACATGTTTGAGCCTCAGTCAGACCTGCACTCAGTTCAGAGTTCCTGAGCAGTTTGTTGTGCACCAAAATCGGCGACTAAAAGACGTATCAGAAAGGTAAGCGTAGTTATTTGTTTATGTTGTTTGTTGGCTTGTAACTGGCACATGTATCAGAACGGTTAGCATAGTTAGCGTCTTTTATTAGTTTACGCAGTTTGTTAGCTCACATCTGGCAGTGGCTGATACAGTGTTGGTGGCTGCGCTAATGCAAACTCTCGCTCTCTGTACTGACAAGATTTTGGATTTATTTAGCCTGCCCCTCGTCTACAGGATTGGTTCCTAGGTTATATGATGTATGAAACCCTGGCTGTCCCAATATCTTTTTAGAGACTGTCATTGCATTGCCCAGCGATGGCGTTGGCGGCTTATTTCGCTCCTGATATGTCTTGTATTATATAACAAGGTTAAAAACTTTCAGAGGGGTCTTTAACAAAGATTGTGATTGAGGTCTCTCAGAGGTCTTAACTGACACACCACTGGTCTGATTTTGATGAATCTGGGAAGACAGGTGCCTGTTGTTACCAACTGGCTGGAGGGGTTCCTCCATTATTCATGAGGGATGTCAAGTTTTTTGTTTCCTTTGTCTTTTATTTTATAGTATTTATAATGGCACAGCAAACCTAGGACTGGAAGACATGCTGTTGTGCTGAGAAAAGCACCCCTGCTGTGAAAGAACCCCCTTATGGTTTGGTTCAGGCAGGAAGAGTGATCATTGGTTAGAGTTAAAAATGCATCAAATGTATAGCATGTAATATATTGCTTTTCACCGCAGGGATGAGTATTACAGCCCAACACATGCCAGAGTCTGTCAGGGCATTACTGGAAATCATTGCACTTAACTTTAAATCCTTGATCAAACAGATTTTCTTGCTCTGCAGCAATGCACATCCAGAATCTCAGCAGGACTCACTGTGGTTCTTTGAGTAGTTGTTATTCTTTCACTTTCATTTTTCTTCAGCAACTACTTCTTTGTATGTATCAGCTTTTATCAGTGTATCTGAGAAAATGTAGGACGATCCACAGACTGTTTCAGGAACACGCTGGGTTACAGTGTTCCTGTTTGTGTGAGTGTGGAACAAAAAATTGTTTGTAAACCATGAAAACATTTACTGCCTTTTCGGTGAAAAGGTAATGACTGCCTATTCTGTGTTTTCTTGAGTACCACCTGGCATAGAGGTAGAGACACTTTCCTCCATATTATACCTTTGAAAAACGGAAAGAAAGGAGGGAAGGAAAGAAAGAAAGGCAAAAAATAAAAGAATGTCTGTATTTATTTGTTGGAATGCAGCCTGTGTTTTTTATGTATAGTAGTATGCTGCATGTATCAAGGGCATTAAACACATTATCATGCTGGACTCAGTCTGTCAGATGTTGTAAAGGTCTTTGAACATGAATCTGTTTTTGTGACCAACAAGTGACCTATCTCATGCTGCACATCCACATGCCCCACACACACACACACACACACACACACACACACACACACACAAACACACACAAACACACATACACTCTCTCATGT